GCACGACGGTCGCGCATCGTTATGTTCGGATTAAATCCGACAGAAATATATCGGTCGTGTCTATCGCGGGAAAGTAAACCAGTATTTGTCGTCATTGCTTATCTATCCTCTATTGGATTACGAGAGACGATTAACAAGTATTTGAATTGTAGCGAGATTTTAGACACGGGAGAAATTTTGCCGGTGATAGCAAGCAATTAAAACATAAATATGCATAAGATACTTCTCGTCAGTTATTTCATTACTACAAATCCAAGTTTACATTTTCAGAGCTGACAAATCATGCGTTAATGATATTAGGGGGGGACAACAGCGACATACATTAATTATTTATATTTGTGATTTTTGATTTACATTTGTGATTTGTGATTTTTATGCGAGTAGCTCCACCTGGAGGTGAAGGAAAAACGGTACACTCCCTTTTCACGGGAATGTACCGAGAAAATAAGCGTGTCTCACGGATTTACGGGAGCTACCACACGTCAATTCACGCGCGAGAGATTTCATCGCGACCGCATTCTCCGGTAACTTGTCGGGACTCGTAACCAGAACCTAGTTTCGGATCATCCTACCGCGGATATATCGCGTGTTAGGCATCGCGGTAACGTGCGACAATTAATCATAGCGCAACACTGTACCGCCGTGTTGCGTAATGCAAAATTGCACGACACGCGACGACGTGACTTTGTAGTCACAGACTTTGTAGTCGAAGCGCGATCATCCCATTTCGATTTTCGACTGGCTGGACCTTTCGGAATCCGAAAACGAGAGGTATAATCGCGCGTGCGCGCAAATGAGCGAACGAGCGATTCGAGCATGCGTTATATCACCTGGCGTTTTCTTTTCCTTCTAAGAGAAAATGCACGTCTCTCGCGCGGCGAGGAAACCCAAGCCGAAGAGCTTCACGCCTCGGTTGCCGTTGGAGATACTTCCTTGCAATATTTAAAAAAAAACCGTGTTATAATGTATCTTATCGCGAGCAGATTACTTGTCAAAACCAAGGACCACTAAAGAAAACGATGACACCTTGCTATTATCGCGAATAAAATGCCTCGAATGAGGGAAAAATTAAAGGAGAGCTCCTATGGTCTCCAAATACTTTTCAACGCAGAAAATTTTCTGGAATCTAACTCGTATCCAGTCCACTCCCCAAAATAACATGTAATTCAAAGGGAGGAAACCAGTGTTCTCAATTTTTCTGATCTCTGCACATTTTACATTAGAATTGAACAAAATATATGTTGATTCTCCAAATAATTCCATTATTTAGTATAATACTCAAACCCGCGTAGGGGATTTCTTGGGATCTAATTAGGTCTGATTTTTCAAAATAATTATAGGATCTATGCGGTTAGAAATGCAATATTCCAAACATCCATTTAATTTTAAATGGCAAAAGAAAAGCTTCCTCAATATTTTTTCTCTGATGTACGTTTTACACTAGAATTGAGTAGAGCGTATGTTGACTTCCTAAATAATTTCACTATTCAATAAAATATTTAATGTGTTTTAAAAATGTTTTATTTCTTTATTCTACTGAATACAATAGTTGATGTAAAAATGCACACAAAAATGCATACTGCATTCAAGTAAATATTAGTTTTTTAAAGTATTTTATAAGTTTATTTATTCCCAAATTTATGTCGCAAGTTTTCATCATAAGCATTAAATTTACTCAAAATACATTCTGAATCCTGATAAGTTTAGCACTTTAGACAAAAATATTAAATTTAAAAAAAATCAATTTACTTACTACATAGAGTCGAATCTATCTATTTCTTAGATTTTTTATAAAAGAAATAAATTCTTCCTTTGCGTATATGATAATGAACTTTTCTCAAATTTTCGATGAATATATCTTAAGGCTCCTGGCTAGTCATCGCGGCCATATTGGTTGATGACGTCAGAAGCGAGAAATTGCACACGAATTTTGCGCCCGAATCATTGCAAAATAAAAAGATATGTTAACAAAGTGACATTTGCAATCGATCCTACACGCTCGTAAAATGCTCCGGATAGTGTTCATTTTCCGAAATAACCTTTACACTGTTAAATATACGTGTGAAAATCGGCTTATTTCAACAGAAAATCAGCTGTGAGACTCGGTGTGGAATATGACAGAATAAGTACTATTATAGTTAAAACTATTACTATTATAGATAAAATATTACAAAAAGTACAGTATCCGGAGTATTTTGACACTTCCGCAATTGTGTTATGTGTGATATGTAAACACTACAGTCAGTAATAACGCCGTAATTCGGACGGAAAAATTTAGGTAGCTGTTACACACATACACACATATCTACATAATTCGCTTTATACATACGATGAACGAAGTTCTTATTCCTACCACTGATGGCTGTGTCGCCACCGTCAACGTAGACTTCTCGCCTGACTAGCCAGGAACCTTAAGACTAACTAAAAGGAAAATATTCTTTATTGAAAATAAGCATTACATAAAGAAGGAAAATTAAAATTAAATTACTTTTTTTGCAATAGAATGATATGTTTTTGTGGACACGCGTGTTCTCATAATATTTCTACCTCAATTCTAGACGAAGAATTTCGATGTTAGAAACAAAAATGAGATTTTCAATTAGTATCGTAGTGGGATAAGCAATTTTGGAACAAATTTGGGCATTCTAACCGGAATCAATTGCTACATTTGAAAAATTCTGGAGAAAATTGTGGATTCCTATTTGAGAGATTTGCGGATTGAATTTGCAGAAAGACGCGTTAGGAAAACACGCAGACAACAAGAGAACTCGATCGCCTCGATCTCTCACTTTTGACCGCCACTTAGATAGATTATGGAAAACAATATAACGATCGCGTTGTCTCCCTCGTGGCGGTCATTAAATCGGCTTCTTGTTGCAATGTGCCAGATATATGTCTTGCTAATCGCGACGAGGTGAACGAATGTGCAGAAGAACACACAACGCGATTCGCATCGTGAAGCGTTGACTCAAGGCTTTCTTCGGAGGTGGCATAAGGATAGCCTAACGACTATAAATACGTTCATTAAACGCTGCCACAGTCTGTCGCGAATGAGCGGAACGTGAATCGAACTCAAATCGCGCGCACGAGGTGATTCAGAGGAAGTAAGGAAGGAAGCAAGAAAGAAAGAAAGGAACGCGGACTATCGATCGACGGCCGAACGGAAGCGCCGCTGAGAAATAATTAAGACTCTCGATCGCGTCGCGAAATAATCGCGAGACATACGCTCCCTGCTCTAATCGCGTCCTCATCGATATTTCAATTTAATTTACGACCTCGCCGATAGAGCTGAAACTCAACCCAAATAGAATCTCTTATTAGCCGCCGGCTAACGCTGGAGATTGCGTGTAGCCTCGGATTCCGATGGGCGGATCTTTACAATGCGTTTCCTAGTATCCGTGGCAGGAAAAATTGAACGTATAGAGATCGGGTCGGTTTAGTAACCGCCTCCATTGGCCACGAATAATTCATTTACCAATACGTCTGCGCCGTCTGCCACTTCTTGCTCAATAAATAAGAGCGTTGTGCGCCCCACGAACACAGCGTATTATTACTAGCATTTAATCATCAGAAAATTACGCGTGCTAGGGTTTAAAAAAAAAAGATTAAATCCCCGTTATGGAAATCACATCACATTGTAATCGATATATTGTGTGTTGTTGATAAACGTCGTTACTTAATAACGACGACAACCCAAATAAACTTTTATATTTATCATAACGTGAAATTAACGCGAGTCCTTATAACTTTTTTAATTGTCAAACAACTTTTGTCAGACAAACGTGCAAATTAAATCAAAATTTAATTAGTCATTAAATTTATATCTTATAATAATGTAAGCTTCCTGTTACATTTACGCAGCAATCAATTTTTATTAAAAGTCATATTTTCATACTATATTCATTCGATAATTTATTTCGCGTGCTTCTTTCATATTTCTGCTTCATCGTTCTATATGATATATATGAGAGTGGCATATGAATGTCAGTCGCAACCTTTACAAATCAAGTACAAATAGAGTTGCTGCCAAATTTACGTACACTCACGCTCAGATAGATTACCCGCTACCTTTTGTGTACGTTCAAAAACGTATCCGTCGAATGGAACAATTCTCTTACTCCGTTACTCACACAAAAAAACTTAGACAACCTAAGTTGTCTTGACCGCGAGAGTACACTTGTTTACCCTGAGAAAATTGATCGAGATTAAGTAGAAGCAATTATTCCAATAGGAAGTTGTGTATCTGTGTGGCACAAAATTGATTACAAACTTTTTGTCGAAGTTACGGCACTTGAAATTGTCGTAATTAAATGCTTCTGCTGATGCGCATGCTCCTGTACATACATAATAATCCACTACTAGAAGATGTGATGATAGTACAGAGTGTACAATAAACAGGAAGGATTCCTTTCATAGTAAGAGAATATTATTTTATATTATTTTACATTGATTTTTATATATCTTATGAAGTAAGATAACGTGACGTGTTGAATGCATATCTGCAGCGGTTCTCAATTGTGACAGCTTGAAGCGCTGCAACTTGATTCGATAAAAGGTGTGCAAACCTTTTTGCCACCGAGCACATATAAATTTGGCAGCACTTAACTAGTCGCAAAGGTTGCGCCCCTTACGAGTAGTTCGTAGTTCGCGCTCATATTTTTATCATATCGAATGGCAAAATAGAAGCACGAAAGAGATACGATCAGAATGATCAAAATATACTCAAAGCAATGTGTCATGTGAAATACAAGATGAAAATTTGAGTGCAACTGTTCTTAACTTCATCGCTGCATCAGTATAATAAAAGATTTACATTATTGGATGATGTGAATTTAATGATTAATTCAATACGGTATATTTGCTTCATAAGTGTAACTAAACAAATTGCAGAGTTCCTCCATTATCGATTGTGTCGCGTCGTGGTGATCACGAAAGTTGTGAAACTGCGGTAGCAAAACTAAAAGTTGCGCGAAAGAAAAATTCCTCAGTCGACTACTTACTGTCTATCGGAATAGCGCGCGTTTGCGCGCCGATTGGTCAACGTTCCTCCAAAAACAGTAACACACACTATCCTCGTGACACTTCGACGAAAGCGAAAGTAGCCTTCTCCCCTCGCGGCCTTCTTCTTCTCTTCGTCCGGCGTTTTCTAACAGCAGTAGGTTCTCTCCTGCCTCCAGGCGCCCGCGTTCCTGATCTTTCCCGTAACTTTCAGCCGTTCGTAGGACAACGAAGGGAAAACGCGGGGAGTCGTAGGACGGCACGACGGATTTTAACGCGGATTTTATTCTCGGACGATGAACAAGGATGTTGTCGAGCAGCGAGAGCTGACGATAATCGCGAGATCGTGGCCGCCGCGTTTTGCGAGGAACGACTAATCGAAAAAGAAAACAAGGAAAAGGAAGACGAAGTGCCAACGGACGTTATCGACCGTGCCGATATCGAAGCGCGGAACGCACTGCCGTCGTGCCAACTCGCGGACTGGTGGACGTTACGCCGGTGCATTGCTTTTAACCAATTCGCCATATTGGTGCTCGGGTCCCTTCTACCGCCGCTCTCGTGTGTCCTCCGCTTCTCGTACACGCGCCGACCGCGCGCGCGAAACGTCGGATCGTAGTCCACCTGCACGTTCTTGTCCGAGCGACGTTCTCCGAGTGACGTCAATGTGACGATTCGACGTCCGGATTCAGAACCGCCGTAGGTGTTCCTGAGACTGTTTTGTGCGCAACACAACCGAGCCCGCAGATTGTGTCACGGCGCGCGAATTGCGATGCGCCGATTAGCCCAATCCAGCACCAGAGATCTCGACGCAGAGGGATTTCCAATTTCGCGCCGACCATTCAAAGAATCAAGGTTGCATTCCAAAACGTTCTTCTTGAGGAAAATTTTACTCAATACCTATAGTTCACGTTCTGATCAAAAAATACACGGAATTTTTTAATTTCGCGGGCTGTATAAGTCCAATTGTCACAATTCTTTTTTTTGTTGTGTTGGTACACTTGTCCCTGACGTATCTGGACATTGGTAGCCATATTGGATGCTTACTTTATTGTTGGCTGTCGAAAAGCTTACACGCGTTTGGGTATGCGATTTTTAACTTGTGAAAAAAATGGAACAAAGAATTTGCATTAAATTTTGCTTTAAGAATGGAATAAAGTGCGGCATCGCATTTGGAAATGTTGAATGTTGCTTTTGGCGAATCTTCTATGAATAAAAAAAGCGTTTACAAGTGGTACAAACGTTTCCAAGACGCCCCAGCACATCAACAACCGATGACAACGTCGAAATTGTTGAATTTTGTTCGTGAATTTTTGACCAAAAGCAACACCGTTATGATACCTCAGCCTTCGTATTCGTCGGACATGACCCTTTGTGACTTCTTCCTATTCTCGCTGAAGCTGAAAAGAACCATGAAAGGACGACATTTTGCATTGAAGAAATAAAGACAGAATCGCTGAAAGAGCTAAACTCCATACCGAAAATTGCGTTCCAGAAGTGTTTCGAAGATTGGAAAAAGCGCTAGCACAAATGTATTATATCTGATGGGGAGTTTGAAGGGGACAAAATTAATATCAACAGAAATTATAGAAAGCTCCTTTTTAGAATAACTAACAGTAAGAATTGAAGAGGCAAATAAGGAGTGCTGTACTCCTTATTTGTCTCTTCAATTCTTAAAATTAATATCGATGAATAAATAAAGATTTTTTGAAAAAAACGGAAATTCCGCGTATTTTTTTATTAAACCTCGTACTATAGAGTATCGAGTAAAATTTTCTCAAAAAGGACGTTTTGGAACGCAACCCAAATCTATAATTGATCTGTTCATTTGAGCTACACTGCTGAACTAATGCAATAAGTTAGAATAAGACAAATATATTTTTTCTCACTCTAACTTATTGCACCAGTTCAGCAGTGCAAATAAAACGAACAAATGTAAACTATCGGAAGCCATATAGTGAAGGAAGAAAGGAAGAATCAAGTCTATCTTGACAGAGCGGAGAGCGTGGAAAAAAGGCGCCTTGGAAATGAAATTGACATTCGACGAGAGGAAGGACTAATCGCAACGCGCAAATACAAGCGCACAAATGTTTGCGCACTTATTAAGAACTATTATTCCGGATTTCGCATGGAGTGTTAGCTCACGGAATTAGTGAGCAGTTCAGTGTATTCAAGCGTAAATCTCGGAACAACAGAATTCTCCTCGGGACGACATTAACTGTCTTCTTGAGTAACATAAAAATATTGGACCAATGTTGGATCTATGGCGGCTGCCTAACGCTTCTGATGATGACCCGACGTTGCGAAGTAATGTTGGACCGACGTTGGGCTCGTCATGCTGGTTAATTGATGCCCCAGCAGCACATATTAGTTGATTAACGGTTGACCTCTGTAGAGAGATTCTACATTGGCCGCTACAGAGACCGCTGTAGAGAGATACTACATTGGCCGCTATAGATTCTGTGCTGCTTGGAACGGTTGATAAAGCATTGGATTTTGCATTTAGCCGAAATAATGCTAACGACTGGAAAGCAATTCAAGCAGTACAAAAAATTGTTGGATTAAAATAAATTTAATCGTTGAAGTGACCCTAAATAAAAAACTAATTTTTGATAAAAAAATATTGAAGTTTCAACACTTTATACGTTCCCTCTACGATTTATTTAAATTCCGAGATCTGTGAGTGATTATTCCACCTGTTAGATGAGATAGCTGTTACTTGACTTCGAAGATCAGATAATAGGCAGTCATATTAATGACTTTATGATGATATACTTGTGACTCAAGCTTATATAACGCAAAAGTTTTATACCAAACTGTACATGTCTCCATCTAATATTTATATTCTGAAATAGTCGTTTTTAAATCTTACGGGATTGTTACCGTTAAGAGCACGCTAGAAACGTTGCTCTCAAAATAAGATCTAAAAAAGGAAACCTATAACAAATTTGCCCAAAATTTAAGTACGTGCACACGATAACAACGACAAAAAATTTGCTGATGATCTCAGCGTTTTGTGGCAACAAAGGATAATACGTTTGTATTCGGTTGATGCAAAAGTAATTTTTGTTTTGAGAAAAATGTTTCCAACATGTCCCTAAAAGCTACAGAATTTTTATTTGGTGATATATGCAAAAGGGGCACAACCCCCATACCACAACACCTATACTTCCTCTCTCAAATTGCAAAAACGACTGCCCAGATATCAATCGCAAGTGACCTTCTCCGCAACGTTATATTATACTTCTGTATTGGCTAAAGCAGCGGAATCTTATCGTCGCCTGTCTAGATGTCACGTTCGATGAAAGTATACAGAATTGATTCGAACACTTCAAATCTACTACAACATCAAAGACAAGCACCGCTCTGGACGCCCATCAAATGTCGATGATAAGGAGTTACCAAGTAGAATCCAACCCACGGCTGACCACGAAAAAATGGCAAACCAATTCGGATGCAACCAATTCATCATCGTTCGACATCTGCGCGCGAAATAAAACGTTCGCAATACGACGTTGTTCATGTCGCCAACATAATTCGCCAGAAGCTCTGGACTTCCCTGAGATGAGAGGTTTTGCCGCAGGTGCCTTATTCACGGACTTGACTTTTTCAGACTGTTCCGCGTTCTACAGCACTTCCTCACGAACATAAAATATGCCAATCGTGAGGCAATCGAGGACGACCTGCGCAACTTTTTTAATACATAATCTCCAGAGTTCTACTAAGGTAAACGTCCCAGTGGTCGAACATACATATCCCAATTATTGACATATTGGTTTTGTATTTTTCTTTGTTGAAATGCTTTTCAATATACAAAACGATATAATAAATGAAAATAATATTTAGTTACTTTGTGATTTTGTTTTATTTATTGATAACAAACACAAGTATATTATTAGTAATCCAATTATCGGTTTAATCACTAGGACGTTTACCTTATAGCGACATTCACAAACTGTCTGTTGGCGACAAGTGATAGGCACGGATAGTGTCTAGATTATTGACTGAGAAATTGTACTTATGAAATAAACAAGTTATATGTGTTCAGAGCTACGAAACGGAAATTACTTTTGCATCAATCCAATACTTTCTCGTATGTCTCGAACTAGAGAAAAATAGTTGATTAATAATCAGATCCCGGAAGTCCTCCGCGTTTACCGCGAAGATTGCACGCGTACATTCACTTTAATTAAAATATCTATCAAAAGTCGAAATTATGCCAACAAATGACAATATTAATCATCTATTTTTTACGAGATATGAAAAAATACTATCCTTTGTTGACACAAAACGCTAAAGCGACCGGCAGGAATTACAATCTGTGTGAATAGTTGCGTCAATCATTAAGAAAAACGTAGACCTTTTGACATATAATTATTGGTAAATTTTTTGTTCTAATTTGGAACATACCACAGAGTAAAAACGGGCTATCATTAGTTGGTACGAAACGCTAATATTGCAGTTTAATATGTTAAAATATCATTATTCCAAAATTTTGTATTTTTTGTATATACAAAACTTGCGTAAATATGTGTTGTTTTGTTTTGCTATTTTCAGCAGAAAACCTGATCTGAGAGGGCCAAATCCGGCGAATAAGGTACCTGCGAGAAAACCTTTTATTCTGGGGAAGTCCAGGGCTTCTGGCGAGCGATGTTGGCGACATGCTATCGGAGCAAATAAATAACGCTATGTTGCGGATGTTTTATTTCGCACACATACATGTATAGAAATCTTCCTGTAAATTTTTCGGACATTCTTAAGCTTCTAAATTCAAATGCACAGATGCAGCAATGTTCTTAAAATCTTTTCTGTTTGGAGCATCCACACTTTCGGTGTATACAAACTACGGAACATTTTTGTATTAGGCAAATATTACACTATTACGCTATTATAATATTATACTGTTATACAATTATAATATTACGCTAATTGATAGCTTGAAATTTTAAAATGTTTAAATTTTAAATGTTTTTTTTTCATTTTTTCGTCCCATATTGAGCAATGAACAATGAATCCTATTTATTTTTGCACGTACTTTCGTTGCATAAAAATATTTGTAATTCTGTATAACCAATACGATGTAAACTTTGCAGAAAAATATAAATATTCTGTCAGTAAAGTTTTCAACTTCAGCATCCTCTTAAATTTACGTATTCATAAACTCTTAAAAAAAGTGTTGCAAACCACATAAACGACTATATGTTTTCACTTCAACGATCAAATATTAAATATATAGACATCTTTCCGACAAAATCATACATCTCGATATCATATTAGAGGTCAAAGAAATGTCCAAGAAACATCCGGAAGAACAACAAAGAAAATTTATTTGCCTGTTAAATAATTCATCAATGTTTTATCTTTATAACTATATATTTATTCATACCTGATTAATTTATACCTGATATTTAGTTTCCTGCAGGTTTTTAGAAACGTCTATCCTATTTTGAGATGTTAATTATGACAGATGGAATATTTCTTTATCGTAGCCGTGGCAATGATGTTAAATGTCAAGATTAAGCTTCGGACAATGGGAGGATTTAGAATGGTTCAGACGGGATTTCGATCATGCTTGGTAACCTATCGAGCGGGCTAAAAAATCGTTTAGCATCCGCGGTATGCAAATTAAGTCGGCAACTATTGGTACTAGACCTGACCTTGGGTGCTTGTGCCCAACGTATATACGACAAACGTACTCGCCGCAAGTACGAGACCGTCAATTCGTAAGTAGACGCTTATTTCTGAAACTCCGCTCCACGCGGAGGTGCTATTTCGAGGTCGGACTTTCCGAGCGTTTCAGCGCGAATATCTCGCGGAAGGTCAAGCAAGTTCACTGACACGGAGAGAAGGTTTCGGCGGCATACGCCGGCGTGTCCTTGGCAGGACTAGGCTTATTATCCTCGACCTGATACTTCCCGTGGTCAAACTGCGTCTGTGGGAGACGCAGAAGAATCGGAGCTGATTAAAACCGGTGGTCATTTACGGCGCCCTTGAGCGCGAGAGTTTGGAACACCTACGGGGATAGATGTCCTCCTCCTTTATTTTCCGAAATGTCTTCTCGGAGTCCAAAGATCGTTCTTGCGATTGCGCCTGGCGGGTCCCTTCCGAACGAATCGTCCGAGATCAACCGTTATTTTGCGATTTTGTGAATTCACGCACGATGATTCAGAGATACCTATACAAAGGCTTTAATGGAATGAGACACTGCGAAGCAGCGAAAGACTGGTTTCATTGAAAAACAAGCTGAAAAGAAACGTTTCAATTGGACGTTTCAAAAAAAGTTTGTATATATATTAATAGTGTAGAATTAAACCAAAATATTATCATTCTGCACAAAATTGCGGCCCTTTTATTAAAAAAATTTTTGTTTTAACTTAAAGCGTTATTAGTGTTTTGTTAAGACCAAAAACAAATAAATGTATAATAAATATATGTTTGTTCTAATTTAGACGATATAGCTACAATTCTCCTGAATAAAAGAAAATTTGTTTTATTTTCGCGTTTGAAATATCTAAGAGAGCCATAATCTTTTACACCGTCCGTATGCGTAAAAAAAGTGCGTCATTTAGACAATATAAATATAGCCTTAAAATCAATTTAAATGAATATATAAATATATTCTTATAATTATATAAAGTTTGACATTATTCGATTTTTTCATCTAAGACAAACTCTGAAAAAAATACTTTTCTTACGACTTTCCTAATCAGAATATTTGTTTAACCAATTAATTTCTTTTCACAATAATTAGTTATCAAGTTAATCACTTGATAACTAATTTAAATATTTATTTTATTCATTGATTTTATGTGTACATGTCAAAAATCTTAAATTTAATTTTTTAATTAAATCATATGCGTGATATTAATGATATTGTAATTATAATTCAACAGAAAAACTCATATCTAACTTTAAATTAAAACGTGAGAGTCTCTCGCAAGAAAAATTTTTTAAATATCTTCTAATCTCTAATGCAGATCTGAAAATATCTGTATACACCGCATACTCGTAAGTTCGTCGTATGACAAAAAAGTAAAAATTAACTTTTATAACAAGTAACTCGTTATTATTTTATTCGAAGTAAATTATATCACATGAATTCATCCATGCGTGATAGCAAACAAATAGAGGAAACAAGTTTCTTTTAATATTAAAAATAGTGCCTATATTGCACATTTCATCAACGTTCTTATTTGAGTTATATCCCAGACAGCATAAAAGATCTCCAGGAGATTTCTTGGAGACGTTCTTAGGACGTAGGGACATTCTCAGAATGTCTTTAAAAAGAATGTCCTGTGCTTTTCAGATATCTTCTTTTTGTCAAACTCACCAAAAAAAAGCAATCCAGACGCGGTCAATTTCGAAGAAAATATTGTAAATGTATGTTGTAAGATGTAACACAGATAAGAAACTAAAAAATTAAGATAAAACATTTGTGTATAACTGTTATAAAGTATATTTTACACCATATAACTTTTTGCAACCTTTATTTTAAATATTCTTTTTTATTTTGTACTTTTTTTTCTATGTTATATTTTTATTTTATTTTGTTGTTTTTTAATTTCAACGATGTATGTAGCGAATTAAAAAAATCGATTTTTTCACAGGGATGCTTTGCTCTTTAAAAGTGCCTATAGAGACGTATAAAACAGTACGTGTCCCCTATTTTGGTCTAGCTTTCAACATATTTCAAGTTTATCAAAATCGGATATACTTCTGTACCTTTACTTGTGAGTAAAGTAAAGTTAATTAGGCACGCTGATAGTTCGTGCATAATGATAAACGTTTGTTTTAGGAAAATTTTTTGATTATCCGAGAAATCTCCTTTCCAGATTATATAAACAAAAGACTCTAAAATTGTTAGATTGAACGAACTTACCAGTGAAGTTCGATCCTAATTATGCCCTTTGTCTCGTCCGGATGGAAGCACTATGTAGTAGTCCCCTGTTCACGTCCTGACAACAGTTTTCAAAAAACCGCCAAAGAAAAAAAAAGCCAGCGCAAGCGATCCAGCGTCGCCTACGCCGCCGTGCGTCACGTGAGCACGCTGCGTCTTCATGATTCAAATCTTTGAGGATAATCGCTGTTTCTAGGGGGGGAGAATAAGTCTGGGAGGGGAGTCCATCCGGACGAGACAAAGGGCATAATTAGGATCGAACTTCACTGGTAAGTTCGTTCAATCTAACAATTATGCCCAATATGTCTCGTCCGGATGGAAGCACTATGTAGCTGTTCATATTGACAGCGATTAGCCTTTGGGAAAAAGAATCGAGATTCTATTAGAAAAGCAAGATTAATATATTATTTAACTAAAATACACAATAACCGTGAGAGAAAGAAAAAACATGTGCCGGAATGAATATAAAAAATATAAAATACAGAAAAGAACAGTCTCTTTGACTAACAAAACAACTTAAAGGATCTTATTTCTATATATCCTGCCTCTGATATTACAAGAAATAAAGACAGTAAAACGAAAAAACTTATGACAAAAGGACTGCCTTGCTAAAGTCCTCCGGATTGATAATGGGTCTATTATAAAAATCAGCGAAAACTCGAGATTCACCCGTCCAACCTGCCGCACGTTTAATAAGATCGATAGAGACTCCCTTGTCTGCTGCACGTGAGGTTGAAGCGTGACGAGTACTATGGGCTGAAAACACGGTGGTATCTATGCCACATTCTTCTAAACCTTGCCTGATCCAGCGACCTACCGTCTGTGCTGAAACGGCTTTATACGGTTTATTAAAAGCGATAAACAAAAAATCACATGTGCTAGGTCGCAGTTTTCTAGTTCTCTCTATGTAGATCTCCATAAGACGGACGATGCAAAGACTCTCATGTTCCACAAAGCGAGAGAAACAGAAAAAAGGTTGAGCTCGACCTGGCGCCGATGTTTTAATACGATCTGGAATTCGTATTAATAATTTCTCGCTTAACGAAATGTGCGAAATTCTCATTAAGGAGAGAGTCTGAGCGCGATGACCCGTCCCGAGGGCAAGAAGAATAACGAGTTTCCTAGTAATAGTTTTTAAATCTACTGAATCATACGGATAAATAGAAGAGAGCTTGGCGATTACAGGAGCCGGATCCCAAACATAATCATATCTCGGACGAGGCGGTTTGAGGGCTGCGACCCCTTTGCAGAAACGTTTAACCATAGGGTGATTGCCAATTTCGGCTTGAGATATTAGGGATATTGCTGACCTCATAGTATTTAAGCTCGAGTAAGAGGAAATATTAGTTAATTCCTGAGAAAGAAAATCCAGTGCTTGAGACACAGTTGGAGAATGGAAGGATATGCGACTGTGCTGACAAAACCTCCACCAAGACCGGAGAGGTTTTGAGTATTGCTTGATAGTTGCTGTTGACAAGGAGGCTAATAGTGCTGGTATTGCTGATGATGGAATTAAACGGGCCTCAAAAGCTCTCCTGATAACTTCCCGACCCCCAGGGAAAGGGTCTTCCAGGCTGGGTGACGTTCTCTGAAAGGAGACGAGAGGAGAGAATGACTGGGAGACAATATAATCGGTTCTGATAAGAGAAGACGACGAAACAGTGGGAACCAGGCCTGGGAGGGCCACCAGGGCACCACCAGAATGCCCACTGCTCCGTCGTCCACTATTTTCCTCAATACTCGTGGTAATAAGATGAAAGGTGGAAATGCGTAAAAATATATGTCCCTCCAGGACAAGGTGAACGCATCTATTGCGATAGATCCTGGATCCGGAAACCAAGAAACATATAAGTCGCATTTCTTATTGATTAAAGATGCGAACAAGTCTATCTCAAACGGCCCGAAAAGTTTTGTTATACGACAAAACGCCTCGTCCGACAGTGACCACTCAGTGTCTGGGTCCGCAATACGAGATTCAGTATCGGCAATTAAATTCTCTACCGAGGAAATATAAGAGGCAAAAATGAAAATATCTCTATCCTCACACCAACGCCAAATTTGTCTCGAGATTGCAGTGAGATGGGGGTATCGTATCGATCCGAATTTGTTGATGTATGCTATAGCAGTAGTGTTATCGATACGGAGTAGAATGTCGCAATTATGAAGGTCCGCTGCAAAGCAGCGGAGGGCATTGAAGGCCGCCTTAAGCTCTAATAAATTTATATGAAGAATTTTGTCATTAGTCGACCACCAACCATGTGTGCGTAAGTCTCCGCAAGAAGCGCCCCAACCGTTCAAAGAGGCATCCGAGAAAATTTCGCGAACAAATTTACCAGATCGAATCTTATTAGTCTGATTAGGATTCGAAAATATTTTAAGCCACCATGTTAAGTCTGCTTGGAGGTTAGGAGGAATCGTCATAGTTGCTGAATAATCTTCATTAGAATTACTCAAAGCTAAGACCTTTTCCCTCTCAAAGTTCTTCGTGTAGAGTAGACCATATTGAACTGCTGGACATACAGAGATGAGTGAGCCAATGAAGCTGGCAAACTCTCTTATAGAACATTTCTCTTTGCGAATTATATTCCTAGTTAACTGTAATAATTTATTCCGGCGTTGGTATGGGATAGAAATAGATTGTTCTACTGAGTTGAAAATAAAACCTAGGTATTTGCATGTAATTGACGGATGTAAACTAGATTTAGAAAAATTAATTATGAATCCCAGAGACTGAAGAAAATTAACAGAAGTAGTAACGTTAGCTTGGCATTCCTCGAAAGATGAGCCCAACAGGAGAAAGTCATCCAGATAAATAATGGATTGAAAACCTCTTCCGCGAAGGTAAGTAACTATCGGTCTCA